CCTGAAACGGTATAGTTTCGCGGGATGCAGTGTTTCTGAAGGAGGTGAAGACCAGCACCAGGGAAGGAAGGTTGAGTGTATTTAAAATGCAAAGCCCCAAACCAGCGGAGTCTCACACGAGAAGGCTCTTGGTCTGGGAAGGCAGCTCCGGCTCTTAGGGCAACCAAATGCCAGTGGGAAGTCTGACATTGCATACTTCCACCATCCACCCCAGCGCTGTAGGAGCTTTGGATCAACGCAGTGATCAAGAGGCCGCAGGCACCCAGGAGACAGGTGCTCTTCCACCTCATTGCCAGAGTCCTTATCCTAGCTGCCTGCAGTGAGGCAGGACTCTCGTGCTGCTTGGCCGTTTGGACTTGCTACTGCACATCACCTCAGGCCGATGCAGCAGGAACTGCCCCAGCACATGCACAGCCACACCAGCATCCCAGCTTTTCAAGGACCCATGAGAGGAGTTGTGTGTTGAAGCTTTAAAACTTTATTCAAGCAGACAGCAGGTAACCCAGAAACAGAGTTTAACACCCCACACCACTCCGATGCCAGTGCTGTGTAAGGCATCCCAACATCCCAGCAGTCACAGTTGTGCTGCCCAGCCAGGAGACTGGCTTTGTCTTTCTCTGCCGGCTACAAAGCGCATGATTAAGTCTGACATCAAGATGCATGCAAACACTACAGTGAGGACTCCCAGACAGCAGCTCCTAAATGCCATCCGGAGAAGTGTCACTAGGAAACAGTAACAGACAGGGCTGTTCACAAGCCTCAGAGACACCAGGGTAGTTAAGAGCAGGAAGGAGCAACACAAGCCTGGGCATTGGGCTTTTGAGAGAGGTGAAAATCTTGCCTTCAATCCTGGTGAGCTCAAGGGACCAGGCTGGGGGCTCATCCTTGCCCGCTCCTTGCAGAGGCCAGGCCTCTGTTGCAGCCTAACACTGTTCTTTCCCTCAAGGACTACGGCTGGGGCTCAGGTTACCTGCTTGGTTTAGGTTTAATGCCAGAACTGTTTGCAGAGCACACGGCTGGCAACAATGAGCCAGTTGCTTTCTGGGAACAGGCAGCATCAGGAGTGTGCAGCTTCAGGTCAGGGAGCACAGGGGCACCATGAAAAAGGTGCCACTCCACACAACACCCAGGGGGCAAGACTGGAGTTTCCAGTGGGACCTGGGGAGCAAGCTACTTCTCCTGCACACACAGCAGCATCTGCCAGCCTTCAGGTAGCACACATGCCCATCTAGAGCAGTGACCAGAGCCCTCCAGACAGCATCGTCCCCAGGCCCTACCTTCACCTTTAACTTCCCAAGTCCTTGTAATAGATCTGAAGGAAGTTCACTAAATCACAGAGCACACAGTCTAACTAGCCTAGTTTCCAAAAAACATTCAAGCACCAGTCCCATGACTGGAGGCAGGAAGCCACTTCAAGACAGCACGGTAATTTGAAACAGTTCAGCCTAGGGAGAAGGTAGAATATAGGGAAGCACATAACAGACCGAAGTTTGTATTTGCATCACCACAGGAGAGTGAAAAAATAGGACTGCAGGAAATTGATCCATGTTAGATACTAACCATCAAGCTTCGCAGATGACATTGCATGATAAGCATAGAACAATTATGGGAAACACTGTCCCCGATAATTACGTACACCCATAGTGCAACATATGGAGGTCACTGCCTCCGATATAACACTGTGGTAGGCAAAAACTACCTTGTTCTTTACACATTATGGAAGACACTGCCCCCGATAATGTCAGTTAGATTTCATGATACATAAGGTACTGGAAGTTTGCAGGAAGCTGCCATTTAGGAATTGGGCCAATGCCTAATCTGAAGTACAAGAAGTTTGCGTGTTGCCGCAGGTGTAGCAAGGGCTACACAGCGAGCCCCACTGCTGCGGCCAAGGGGGAAGCTGTGCTCCCTGTGAGAGCACACTGCATCCAGAAAGGGGGGCAAAGAGGGGTCCGAAACCCACAGAGGGGCATGGACACCAAAGGGAAACCAAATTTCTAGTATTTCCAATTTTTCAACATTTCAAGGATCGCTTTGGAGCACACAACCTGGATACTTGCTACCAGGTTTACACATTCAAGTTTCTTCCAGGGGGGTGTTTTTGCCACAGAAAGCTTAATTGCTAGTTTTCCAAAACTTTTTTTGAGGGGCCTGTTTAGGTTATTTTAAATGCAAAGTTCCAGTATCATGTTCGATTGTAATAGCAGATGCTGCTTTATTCAAAAACGACAGTATAACTGTCATAATTATGGAAGGCACTGCTTCCGATAATTATCTTCTATAAAAAAACCACACCATTTATAGTGAACGCTGTCACTGATAAATAAATAAACAAATAAATATCTCAGTGCCAAACAAGAGCCATCCTGCAAAATGGCATCAGTCAGACAGGGTTTGGCCAGCAAGAGACTCGATTCACAAAAGGCCCCACAGCAGCAAGGTCTGAAGTGCCAGTCCAGAGCCATTCCTCAATGCTGCAGGAATCACTGAGGTGCCAGCTAAGGATCTAAAGGGGGCATTAGATAACCTTTGGGTCATTTTCCCAGGGTATTGAGACCTGCCTTGGCAGAAGCAAGCCTCTAAGATGTTGTTGGGACCCTCCTGTTGAGTAGAGGCAGGTTGGGCACTTCAGAGCTTGCTGATAATCCAGCACTTGCGGGCTATTACTAAGTTGGTTTATTTTTGAGCTACAGGTTGATCTCTGCAGCTCCCTGACAGAAAAGGGATCCTCATTACAAGAGTTAAAAGGAATCCATTCCCCATTTTATCACTAGGTTTAGGAGGCCAACAATTAAAACCCTAAATAAACAAGGTACCTCCCCACTCAAGGTACCAGTTCAGGAGTTGCCTGAGCTCTTGGTTCTCAAGTACACTGGAAAGCAAAGCCCCACAAGCAGCTGTACATGACTGGTTTGTCAGATGGGAGCCTGGTCAGATTTCATGGTAAGCCTAGTACCTGCTTTAAAACTGCCTCCTGTGAATTTCTCAAGGTGAGATTTGAATTTCATGCTCAACTTTGGTCAAAAAAATATTTGTTGCCAGAAAATCTACAGAAAAATAATGCCATGTTAGGGAGTGGGTATCCCTAATCCTGTACCTTACCCAGGTGTTTGCCATGTCTAGAATTCATTGTCTGTATCCCAGATATCACCCACTAAGGCATTGGCAGCTCCTTTAATGGTCCAGGTCGCCAGGGCTAGCTGCTCTTTCAGTACGTTCACGTCCACGCTGTCCCTGCTGTTTCTCAGCAGCTGCAGGTTCTCCAGCAGACTCTGCAGGGTGTGGGAGCCTCTGCCGAAGAAGATGTGGCGAAAGGGAGCATCTTTTGGCGAGAGGTACGGGGAGAGGAAGTCATATTCCACCTGAAGCAGAGGTGCAAATTTAGGGTTACACCCTCACCTCCCAAGTTTTCTTTCCTAATCTGCCACAGAGCTCCTGACCTCTGATCCCCACCCAGCCCTTTCTCACAGCACCTCTGTGCTGTGCCAGACCCTCTCTCAGTAGCAAGTGCAGAAGTCAGTCATGCAAGCGAAGAGACACCAGTCTGCACAGCAAGGAAGAGGCCCATCCCAACCTTTCTTTCTTTTGTGAAAAAAGGAAAACTAGTTGTACTCACCTTCATAATCCTGTCATTCAGGGCCCTGCGGACAATCTTGTTTTCCCTGTCACTGTTGGCAATGTCTCGTCTCAGTGTATCTGTAGCTCGCTGGAAGTCACCACGGGCAAAAAACAGCCAGTTCAAGGTCAGCCCCAGAGCCTGTAAGGGAGGAACTGTTAGCAAACCTGATTTTCTTCTTTCGTTGCTCTCTTACCAAGAGAAAGTGTTGGGTTTGTTGTCATCCGTCCTCCCCCCCACCCAGTTTAACCAAGCAGCAAAGCAAGTTCCTGGCAGGCTCCTCTGAGGTCACTGAGCCCAGTGTAGTCTCTCTCCACCTACAGTTTCTTGTGAGCTCTCAGCAGAGGTGCAAATGAGATGCAAAGCTGCACTGTGCTGTGAATGGTAACCAGACAAGAAACCATCCACATCCATTTCCTCAAGAGCTCACCACAGCCAGATTAGCTAAATCTGTCTGACACAGCAACTCTGCCTCCACTGCTCTGTAAGGAACACCAATTCCCATCACATCTTGGTACACTCTGGTGCCCGAAGGAGGAACATGTCCACCCTGCTGTATCCAATAGCAGCAAAGCCTTATTAGCACATGGCCCTGTAACAGGGATTCAGAGCACTCGGAGCCTCTCTTACCTTCACATCCCGATCATAGGGCAAAAACTTCTCCTGGAATGCTAGCAATTCTTCACTGTATCTCTCAAAGTCCAGGTAAAGCTCATGATCATGGGTCAGTCTGAGAGCTATCTGTCCAGCAACTTCTGCAGCAGCACGCATAAGAGTGTACAACTTGTCAGTCATCTTCAGGTTCTCCACAGTGTCCTCAGTAGTGCCCAAGAAGGGATATTCCTCATCTTTCTGCAAGAAGGAAGGCACTGAAGTTAGGCAAGAGTGCTTCTCCAGCTAGGACTTTTTACCTCCCACTGCAGTTTGCTTGGTACTTTACCACATCCCATCTCCTCGTGCTGCTAAGTAGCAAGACTTGAGGGGCAAAACTTCAAAAGCACAGGGGAAGGGAATGGAGCTCCTGCATCTCATCCCTCACAGTTTCCAGCAATCAGCAGGATGCTCTACTACTTTGTTGGACCTAAAGACACAATAGAACTTTTCCCTTACCAGAGTTGAATGCAGAAGCGCAGGTAGGCAAACCCCAGCACCCAGTTTAGTATGTGCTGGCAGCATCCTCCAACCCTTCCTGATAGGATAACTCCAGTTTTTTTGTGGGTTAAGTCTGACACTATCAAAATCCAAGCAATAAGCAGAAAAAGCTGTTACCAGAAGGGCTCCCAGCTGCACACCTTGCAGTAACAGAGCTGGCAGATGCCGTTTTTTCCAGCCCCAAGATGCAGCACCCCACCTGAACAGTCTGAATTAGTATTTGCTCTAGGCAACAGTACTGCTTCCCCAATGCACTTTGCTTGCTGACCAGCAGGCCACAGTAGAGTCTTTCACTGAAGCAGCAACAGCATGACATCTTTCTAGTACTTTTAACTTCTGCAACATTTGACATCTGAGACTCCAGAAGAGCAAGTGTCCCCTCTCCCAACAAAACAAGAGTGTTCAGGACTCTGGAGCAGAGACTGTAGGCCAACCATGCCCCAGAGACTACTTTCACAGCAAGTATTGCCATAGCCGCCAGGTCCAGAGGCTGCATCTCCTCCCCCAGAGAGGCTCTGGCATGGACAAGGAGCTTGGGACAGCACCTTGTGTCTGCCACCCTGGAAAGCAGACATCCTGTCAACACTCTGCACGGAATGAGTACACCAGTCAAGCGGACAGCACTTACACTGCAGAAACCAAAGGAAATCACTGGGATTCCTGAGAAGGCCAGGAAAGGGAATGCAGCATTATCCAGACCAAGGGGAACACTGCAAAAGACAAGTACTGAGTGGTTACCAACTGCTTCGGACACACCAGGAGAAAAGCTGCAAGCCCTAGAGTTGAAGCTGTAAGCCAACTGGACTACCCTGTCTAGACAAGGCTGGTTTTGGCAAGGAACCCCAGCCAGGCACTGAGGGCTACTCGCCCATTTCCAGCCACCTGTCTTTGGACAAGGTTGTTCTTGCTCCACAAAAAAGGCTGCCTACAGGCGGCTTGGGGCAGCACTAAGTGCAGCAAGTGTACTATTTACACTTGCCTGATCCCACTGCAGCAGGTAGAGCTCCCCCCAGACAGCAGTATGACACTCCAGCACAAAGAACAGAGGCCATTTAGTTTGTTCCTCTGTGGGGATTTGCTTTCCCAAAGAACAGGATGACAATACTTACACTGTTTTCACCCAGTCAGAGCCAACTCTGTCATACAGGCTTCCCGAATCCTTTGTTGGGTCCTTCACCTGCACAGAGATTAATAGTCACTGCACTTGTTCTGACCTCTGCTGGGGATTCCAGGTCCACCCTGGAGCTTGCATTCCTGTGCAGATACCAGTCAGGCATCTCCTTTCTCCACACAGTTCATGGACAAGCATTCACCTCCCACTGAAATGTGGCATTTGCCAGTTTTAAATTCTGCATGCACGAACTGCAATTCCCAGAGCCCAGCTGACTTCAGACAGGGCCCTCCAGAGTATCTCAGCCCCTTCTCCTATTCAGGGCTTTCTCCTCAGAAGGTGTCAGCTGGGAAAAATGAGCCAGCACAATTGTGGCTGCTTTCCTTAAAAGCACAGTCACCTTGATTAGCCCAAGACCCTTCAACTCACCCCCTTCATAGTTCTCTCCAGCAACGTGTACAGCAGTGGGCTAGCAGAAATCCTCATGTGGTTGAAGCCTGAAAAAAATGACAAGGGCATTTGACATGCTGGCACAATTAGCCACTGCTGCTAGAGCTGCTCAGCCCTGTGACTGTGCAACAACTGACCTACAGGTTGTTGCCAAAGGATCTTCAAGAGACACAGTACAGTCTACTGGGACCTAGCAGAGCTGCCTCCTTTTAGCTCAGGCTCTGCATACCTTTGGCACAGCCCCCATTCCTGGAGGTTAAGGGATATCAGTCAAGCTATTCTGGTCCCACTCAGTTTCAAGAAACTTAAGAGTAGCAGGTTACCTAGAACTGCAGCATCCAAATTAATGTAAGTGAAGGCTTTGGCATGCAGCGTTGCAGAGTACCCCTGGAATAAAATAAGTATTTTAAGATGAGCAGTAGCAATACAACTCCAGGAAATCACAACTGCACAGTCATCACACAGAAGTCCACCGAAGAAACAGTACCTCCAGCCATTCAGTAGCACCCACAGCTCCATACTCTCCTGCACTCCAGCTAGCAAAGATGATGCTGCGTCTTGGTTTGTAGCCACCTGCAAAGAGAGGGAGACTGAGATGTCTGTCCTTCCCCCATAGAGATGTAGGTTAGTGCTGAGGGCCTGGGGTGATGAATCTCCTGCTCCTCAGACAGAGCTGAAGTGTTTCGGCTGCTGCAGACAAATATGCACACCAGTAGATGCATGGACACTCTACACTGACCCCCATGCTGCAGAGCTGTGTAGGAAAACATTTCCCTCCTATTTTGTTCAGGTGCCTGAGCCCAAAATTAACCCTGGAGACAAGAACACTCACACTAAGTGCCACCATGCAGCCTCCACTGCTCCAGCTGGTCAGCCACTTCAGTATTTTCCCACCTTTAGACCTGGCTGCTCAATAAACAGCTCAAGTTTGAGGTTTGCACCATGTGTTATCCAAGGACATTTTTGAACTCAAGCAATACCAGATACAAGCACACAGTGGAAGCAAGTGCCCACTGCAGGCAAGTTGTCTATGCTGGAAAAGCAGTAGCTTTCCAGGAAGCTTAGTCAGATTCCCTATTGCCTTCCCATAGGATTATTTTGCTGGGCTCTTCAATGTTAACACATAGAGAACTAAATCTGCATCACCTCCTACTCCCATGCTTTTGCACAAGTATTTACCATTCTTCACTATGTCTGAGATCACACGGGCAAGTTCCAACAACATGGCAGTTCCAACACCAGCCTTGGCTGCTCCAGGGCCCCAGGAGTCTCTCTGGGCTCCAATCACAACATATCGATCTATAAAGGAGACAAGAAGATCTGAGCTGCAATCTTCAGGTTGTAAACACCATTTATCAAAAGAGCAGCTTTGAGTCTTTGCTAGGAACAGAGTATGGAGTCTGACTCCTAAATCTGGCACACTGCTTGCTATCATTTAGCCTTTCTCTGGCAGTGTGGTTCAATCTTTTCCTTGACCCTTCAGGTCTTGGTTCTGCTAAGGAAGTGGTTGTCTTTGTAGGAGCAACTGTCATCTGATGATCACAGAAGATGAAGGCTTCCCTTCAAGACTAAGCCACAAGGCAGTTGCTGTTACCTGGTTCTTCAAATCCCTTGATAGCACCAAAGATGTTCAGAATCTTCTGGTCCACCATAACATTGTTCACGCTCAGTTTTACTGTCATGTTGGTCGTGCTGCTCAGCATCATCTTGCATCCCATGACCCCAGATTTCCACTCCAGCAGGCATTTGTCTCCATCCATTTTGCTGAGGGGGGGAAAAAAAAAAAAAAAAAAAAAAAAAAAAAAAAAAGAATGAGAGGCCCTTTGAACTCATTATACAGCTCTGACCTCTATCCTGTGAAGAAAGCAAGCCTACAGCTGCAGATGCAGCTTTGTTCAGGACCTGCTCAGGAGATAACCTGCAGTCCTGTACCACTAATTATGCAGGGAGAGGTAGGAGGCAGAAGCCAAGAGGAATCCAACACTAGCTAAGTTCTGTCTTTAAGACATAAGACATGGACACTAACAACATTTCTCCAGCCAGTTCCAGTAAGTGCTCACTGCGATACACAGCAGAGACCAGCAGAGAGCTCCCTGGGCTCACAGCGCCTCAATGCCATCCTGACTCCTCCAAGAGGGCCACAGCAGCTTAGCCCGCAAGCCAGGAGAAATTATTACCTGTACAGCTTGCCTGCTGCTTGACTAGAGATAGTCTGAACAGGGATGCGAGGTAGTCCAGAAGATTCCACTGGTGGGAACTGGGTGTGATTGAAAGAAGGGAAGCCTGGGGTGAAAGGGTCTCCAGTTCCAAGGTGGGCCTGTGAAAAGCAAGAGGAGCCCTCAAATCTCAGAGAAGCCCAACAGTTTTCATCTACACAAGGGCATGAAGCACTGCTGAGCCAGAGGCCTGCAGAAGGACTGCTGCAGTCCACAGCAAGAAAGGTTAACAAGAACACAAAAGGAGAGTCAGCTGCATACTCACATGTCCAAAGGGGACAAGTGCATCTGTGTTCTTGTAATCGTAGGGATCCAGGTACACCAGGACACCAACTGCTCCTGCCTCTTGGGCATTTGCAACCTGAAGCAAACAAGAACATTTACTGCACATCTGCACTGCAAGCAAGGGGAGTTAAGGCCTGCCTCTGATATGCCACCAGTACAAACACTCTTGCAAGGTTAGATACCAGCTTGAAAAGTGGGACGGGACTGGAGAAAAAGTAAGCACCCCTTGCAGAAGCACTTTTCAGTTCTTCCTGTGTCTTACATGCAGTCAGACTGTGCCTGCTTGCACAGAGTCCTATGCCCCAGCCTCCCCAGAAACACCCATCTGAGGGACAGCTTTGGGTCAGACGCCTATAACAAGTTTGCATACAGAAGGACTTGGATCCTTTAGGCTGCTTGCCTATTTGGTTCTATTTGCTACACAGGGAGCATTACAGCAACATGCAAGGCAGCTGACTGGGCATGCAGTGCCACCATCTTCACTTAGCCCAAGTGAGACAGTGCAGCCAAGATTTGAAAGTATCTGGCTGCAGCAACAAGAGGTGTTCTGAAGGCAAGGCTGTTCTTCTAGCAGCTCTACTGCTGTACTTAGAAATACCAGCCAGCTCTGCACCATATAGCCTCCGGGCTGCCTCCATCACTCCAGATGCTTGGCTGTCCCAGCAAGACTGCCAGAGGACAAGAATGCCACCATGAACGGTAACCAGCTCTGTTCAGTTTTGGTGTCCCAATCTGTATGTGGAAGCTTAGTGCATACACACAGGACCAGACCTGCAGGGACAAGCCTACGAACACAAGTTCTAGAGACCTGAACAAAGACACACCTCTAAGCCTCAAAGAGGAGGAAACACAGCTTCCTGCTGCCAAATTTGGCCTGGACTGCTTACCTTCTCAGCAAGGGTTATTTTTCCAGCTCTGAAGATGAGTATAGTTCCATTCAGTGTAACACCCAGCTTCTCCATCTTCTGAAAATCAGCTTTCAGTCCATAGTTCACATGAACTGGTTTGCCCTGGGACAGAAACACTGGTTATAAATGCAGCAGTCTCATGCCAGTAAGATACTTGATACAGCCTACAGAGTCACAGTAACAGTGACTCCTGCTAACAGCAGGGAATTCAAGCTCAGTAATGTAAACTGATCGCATGTAACATGCCTGTTTGAGCAGCACTTCTGACAAGGTTCCTGTCTGGATCCCAGCAGAGAAGTATAAACAGTTACTTTGACTTCTTGCTAAAAATGTGGGCCTGCTCCTCACTGAATTCTCCCCACCACCAACCCAGGTCTCTAACTGGGGATGGCTTATACACTTCATATCTCAAAGGGACATATTTTGAACATTGCCACCTCGTAAGCATGCAAGTACATTTCCCAGATCTTCTTGGAGTCACTTACAACAACTGAGCCAGTCTTGCTGTATGCCACGTATGCACTGGGACTCTCCAGTTCCTCCTCTTTACCATTTTGCAGAATAGACACTCTGTTGTTGCTACTGTTAAATGTAAAGAGACAGTGTTATGTTCTTTCATACATAAACTCCATATTTAACTAGCTCCCATATTTCAGCAATTATGATCGAGTCAATGTAAAGCCTGAAGCAGGTAGTCATCCCAGTACTTCCATGCAAGAATCTCTGCAGTTGTTCAGAGACATTAATGAAGGCTAATTTCTAAGACAAGGCAGAAAAAATCTGCCTCAGGTCTCTTAGTCATCTCCTAAGAGGAGCTAAGCAAATTTGTTTCCCCCCAAACACAAAGAGGGCAAATAAGACAAAGGTGTGAGCTGTCAGCCAACAGAGTGCCTGCTGATACCCTCCTGAGCTACTATAAGAGCCACTGCCAGATCCCCTGCACCCATCTGGGTGACAAGACAGTGCCCACACCCGCAGTTTTACACACACGCAATCTGCCCTTCAGCCTAGTTTTTACTCAAGTTTGTTTTCTCTCTACTTCCTAAGCATGCTTTGAAGAAACGGCTGCCCCAGGAAAAATCCACAGGGCTGCTACCAGACCCTCTGGATTTGGGAAGCTGGAGAAGAGATAGGAGCAGCCATTGCTTGGCTAGGTTGAGGCCTTCTTTGGAGAGCGGTAGCTGGCTCACAGCTTTAGCACTGCTTTCAGCAGAAACATATGTTTGTTCAAGACTACAGATATCTATGCTGCAAGGAAGAGATCTGCACCTCTTCATTAACGTACCTGCCTTTGACCTGCAGCTTAATGTAGTGCTCATCATTCCAGACCTCATCCAAATGGAAGCTATTAAGCTGGTCATGAATGTAACTGGCAGTTTTCTCATCTTCAATTTGTCCAGCTTCAAAAGAGTCCTTGTTTGCTCTTTGCCTGTAGGTAACAGATGCATAGCTTATGTTACAGCACCAGGCTGCACTGCAGTGCTGCAGCCTGCAAACCCAAGTTGGATGGGCCATTTAAGCCCATGTTTAACCACATACTATCCCGCATCATCTTTAAGGCCCTTGCTCTCCAAAGGAGCTCGAGGAGTTCTGCTCACAGGCTGTGCCTCTCATAGCTGTAGTTAAGCTTTCTGGAACCGTTACCTCAAGCTGTCCTCAAGATGTTTGGCTGACAGCTTTTCTGACAACAGGGCTCTGAGCTCAGGCCAGTATAAGACAGGTGATCCAGGAACCTCTTCTTCCTCAGTTTCATCCTCCGTTAAGTAAGATGCAGTAGGAGTCATCTCACACTTGCCACTTCCATCCAGACACCTGCTAGCCTTCTGCATTCGTCCACGGTAACTCAAGTAGCCAATCAGAAACCCTACAGACAGAAGAGGTATTTTTTTGTGCTACAGAGATGCCTAAACCAGCCCCACACCACACAAGTGCATTCAAAGCAGCTTCAGGGTTAAGACGCATCTCTGCTCTCACACCATTTCTGATTAGCTGGCATAGCTAAGGACAGACAGGACTATGCAGCCTGACATTTTGCCTGAGCTGGCATGTTTTAAGGTACACTGTAAATCTGATCTTGTGCTTGGCAGAGTCCATCCAGCACCACTTTGGAAGAAGAATGCTTACTTTAGTCCAGTGGCAGGGCTAAAACTCTTGAGACAAGCACCAGAGGCTTCACTGATATGTTGAGCCACATCACTACAGAAGTGTTAAGAGTTAATCAAGAGAAAACCAGTACACTTGCCACATGGATCAGCTTACCCTTCAGCTAAGACACAGTTCCACTGTCAGATTTCACACTTTGTGCCAATTCTGTACCATAAGTCTGAGACAGACATACTTAGTGACAAGAGGCTGCAGCCTGGATTCAGGCTCTTTAATTGTCTCATGAAACAATACAGATCCAAATGTAAATGGCCTCAGATATACACAGTACCAGAATTCACTTCATGCAGTTGCCTCCCACCCTTCCTTACCAATCAGAAGGAGGAGGAGAGCTGCAATGACTAGGAAGCAGAGGTTCTTGCCACTCCTCCGTGGAGGCATGCTGGCATGCACGTGCTCTTGTCTCCCAATTTCCCCTCCTTCCTCATCATCAGCAGACAGCTTCATCTCCACATGGCTGTTGTCTCCATCTGTTTGCCGCGCAATGCTGAAACGCGTGTATGACATCGGCTCGCCGCCAAACTGCATTGAAAGACAGTCAAGAGATGGAAGAGTTTGCTACATCAGCCTACATACAGTCCCTGCAGCCAGCTGCACCCATGCTCCAAATCAAATGCAGCTTGTCCACCTGAAACTGCTCCAACACAGCCTGAGCACTTGGCTTTCAGTAAGTCAGACTGGCTTCTTTGAAGAGTCAGACTTAAACCCAGCACGGGGTCTCCAGGGCCTATTTAGCATTTGTTTGCCCTACACAAGTGCAAAGCTACACTGGTCAGAGTCTAGCTTGGAGTCTATTTCAGATATGACACAGCCAATGGCATCAGCATTTCCCACATTACCCCATGGCAAAGGCTGACTGAAGCAGAAACTCCTGGTCTTAATCAGGAGCACATCGATCTCACTTGAACATGTGCAGTTTGCACAGAAGGGAACTTTGATCAGCACAGAGAAAAGGCAACCCTGCATGGTTGTGCCTTTGAGCCACATCCACTTTTATGTAAATACTTTCATGTAGCATCTAGATAGTCTTGTGTTAAACTGCCCCAGGCTACTCTTAAATTACACTATTGATGAGCATTATGAAGCTGCTAGGCTGAAGAGAGCTGACCCATGGGAATCCTGCTACCTCAGCTAGCATGAAAGCTGAGGACACACCTCCTGCATCCACCAGCAACTGGCACCATTCAGCAAGAGTTTATCAGTGCCTGAGCAGAGCAGCTTCCAGCGTGGAGCCCACTTTTCTGAACAGCTGCAACACATAGTCCAACTGCTCACAGAACAGCAGCCCATGCGCAAGGCAGTTGTTCAGATTAACAGACAGTTAAACTCAATTCCAGGCGTAGCCAGGCACTGAGCAGAACCACTCAGCTTCCATTAGAGCCGCTGAACTTGCCTGCGGCCATAGCTGTGTTTGGGACAGGCAGGAGTCTGGCTAAAAAGCCAGAGGAATAGTTTTGGGAGCAATAGTCCTGCAGCCCCTCTCCATTGTACTGGGGAAGCAGCTGGTGGCAAGCACCCAACCTCTGTTACAGTATCTTTACCTCTTTCACAGTTCTCAGCTTGCTCTCAAACTGTAAGTCAGGGGCTGGAAGTGCAGAGACCATACATCAGCTCAGCTAGTAAAAACAATACTATACCATTTCAGACCTGTGGTTCCATCCTGACCCATGCTACCAGCAATGAAGTGGCTGGCTGCTCACATTTCAGAAAGCACAACACAGCAGCCTATCCTAGCAGTGCCCCTGCTCAGCTGCTTGATAGCTCAGGTTCCCTCACCCTTTGCAGAGGACATGCTACTACCCCACATAACCTCCACACTTGTGCAGAGACCAAGCCATCACGTTTGCAGGCCTAGCCTAGGGTCATTTCACAGACCAAGCTGTCTAGGACTGGCAGGCTTGTCTGAGCAAGCTCCTGTACATTTGTTTCAAAGCACATTACACTGAAAAGCTGAACTCGTGGTTGAACTCCCACCCCCAAAGTAACATAATACAACACATGCATTTATCAGCTTCCTCAGCAGTACTTCCTCCTGGAACATTGCTCAAGGCTTGCCCCCCCTCCTTATCAGCTTCCTGAGAGACCCGAGATACTGTAGCAGTTACTGATAACCAAACAGCACTGAACTGCATAAGCCACTCCCTTATTGTGGCCAGCTAGTTACAGTGACGCTTGGCTCACAACCCACACAGTAGCACCCAACACTGCTTCGGATTTCTCATCTTCTCCAATACTAACACGCATGTGGTTAAACCTTTCTTCTGCAGCACCATCAGCCCATCAAGAGACAAATGCCACAGGGGGCTGCGTCTTACCAAGTTAGAGATTGCTGCTCTGGCATGGTCCATTGCCTTCTGGAAGAGTACCCACCAACTTGACCAAAGCCCTAGAAGTGCAGAACACATGTAGTAAGTCACGCTGTTTCCCTGCCATTACACAGGACATCCAAGGTCACTGTCACCAGCACAACACTTGCCCGTGGATTTTACGTGCATGCTTCTAAGTCACAATGGTAGAAAGTTCACATACTCCCACTGCAAGTATCAGTTCTGATGAACAAACTGACTCCTTCTATTGAACTCCAGGGATCGGGGATGAAGATGGTGTGTGCATAAATGAGGAATAGTCTCAAAATTTCAGCTAAGAGTCTTACTAATGGTAGGGGCACTTCCACTCAGGGAATGGTGGCAAGAGGCACTGCTCAAGGACACCACGTATCTAAGGTTCCTGGAGTCTGTCTCAACTGACAGGATGGAGATGAGTCCTACTGGTAGCCAGAAGTGGCACAATGCCGTAACTCATAGCAGGACAAAATCCAACTGCGCCATAACGCTTCCAATTCCAAAGTCTCTTCTAGATGGCTATGTCCTTTATCACTTTATGAAGGCAGTATCAGTTTTGAGCAGTATAACAGAGTAGCCAAGAACAACTTTCCAAAAAGCATTTCATTCATTTGGGTTTCTCTAGACAGTAAACTTATCTGACGTAACTGAATTACTTCAGCATTTTCTTCCTGAAAAGATGCTGGAAAAAGCTTTGTAAGTTAGTGACTAGACAGCTTGGGTTGAGACAGGTGCTTAGGTTGGGAGCATGCAGCTTGAGTATGCCCTCAAGCAGTGCTGCTAAGAAATGACTCTGAACTGGTCTTTGGGTGCATGTGGATTACCTTTACAACTGGGAGCTCTGCAATATAAGCAGGCTTTATTTGGAGATCAAAGGTTAAAAGTGGCCATCCGCTCATTTCACATTCACCTTTCGCTTAGGTCAGGAGTACAGAGAGATGGATCCAGCAGCTCTGAGAAGCCTTTTCCAAGTGACAATCCGAGGCCTAGGCTCCCAGCTTGCAGACAGGGAACAACAAGGCACGCATATGGAGGATCTCCTAAAAGCCAGACGAGCTAACCCAGGCGAAAAGCCAGGGAAGCACAATGGCCTGGTGCCATCACACCTGGCAGGGATGCTCCCTGCTCCCTCAGGAGCGCAGGATCCCCCCGAGCCCCTCATGACCCAAACCCCTTCAGCCATCCCTAGCAGAGAGCCACCACTCCGGGCACCTAACGGGGAAGGGACGTTCCCTCTTCCCTCCATGCAACCCGGCAGACGGCCAACAACCCCAACCCCTCAGAAATAAGGCGAAGAGAAAGAAAAAACAATAAATAAAAGCATAGGAATAGCCTCCCGCGAGGGGCTGGGTGGCCCCGGTATCACGGGCAGGGCCCGGCTGCGGTCTGCCAGATAAGCGGGCCGGGCGGTACACCGCCCACCGAGAGCACGTCTC